TAGCCTATTAACTTTACCTTTCACGTGCTTCGGAGTTGTTGGTTTAATCGTAGGTTTCTTTTCAGGAACCGCCGGTTTAACGGTCATGACCGTAACATGCTTTGGAGTAGAGACCTGTGGCTTCTTTCCCGGAACAACCTTAGGTGTCGTAACTTCTGGTTTCTTTCCTGGAATTACTGCCTTTGTAGTTCTGCCTGGTAAATGACTCGGCGTTGTTGCTTTAACGACGGGTTTCTTCACGGTCACAGAAGGGATATGCTTAGGAGTTGTGACTTCAGGCTTCTTCCCTGGTATCACTACCGGCTTCACCGTCGTACCTGGTACATGCTTCGTTGTAACTTCAACTTTCGGTAACTTGACCGTTACTTTTCCTGGGATGGGTTTAACAGTAGTAACATGAGGCTTCTTCCCTGGAACCACTGTCTTCACAGTTTTACCGGGGACATGTTTGGGTGTTGTTGCTTCAACCGCAGGTTTCTTCACCGTCATTCCAGGTACATGCTTTGGAGTTGTGACCTGCGGTTTCTTTTCAGGAACCACTGGCTTCACAGTCTTGTCAGGTATTGCTTTCCGAGTAGTAATTTCGGGTTTCTGCTCTAGAACCATTGGCATCGATGTCTCGCTTGGTACACGCTTTGGCGTCGTTGCTTCAAGGGCAGGTTTTCTAGTAGATATTTTTCCGGGAACGGATTTAAGGGTAGTAACCTCGGGTTTCTTTCCTGGCACTGCCGGCTTTACGGTTTTACCTGGTACATGCTTCGTTGTCGTGGCTTCAACAGCAGGTACTTTCACAGTTATTTTCGGTATTTCCTTGCCAGGAACATGCTTTTGCGTTGTTGCTTCAGGCTTCTTTCCTGGGACCACCGGATGCACAGTCTTACTTGGAACATGCTTTGGTGTAGTAACCTCCACCGCGGGCTTCTTGACAGTTACTTTTCCAGGAGCAGGTTTTGGTGTAGTAATTTCAGGCTTCTTTCCTGGAACAACCGGATGCACAGTCTTGCTTGGAACATGCTTTGGTGTAGTAACCTCTACCGCGGGTTTCTTAATAGTTACTTTTCCGGGGACAGGCTTTGGTGTAGTAATTTCAGGCTTCTTTCCTGGAACAACCGGATGCACAGTCTTACTTGGAACATGCTTTGGTGTAGTAACCTCTACCGCGGGTTTTTTGATAGTTACTTTTCCGGGGACAGGTTTTGGTGTAGTCACTTCAGGCTTCTTTACCGGGACCGCTGGTTTTAGGGTCTTACCCGGTACTACTTTTACAGTAGTGACTTCAGGCTTTTTTCCTGGTACAACTGACGTGATACTTGGTACTGCTTTTGGAGTAGTAACTTCTGGCTTTTTTCCTGGCACTACAGGTTTGACTGTTGTAATTTCCACGGTTGGTTTTTTAGTCCCTTCTTGTATAGTTGGCTTAACGGTCTTACCCGGGATGTGTTTGGGTGTAGTGAGTTCATGTACTACAGGCTTGACGGTCTTTGCGCCTGGTACGAGGGTGTGCCTCTTTGTGATTTCGACGCTGACAACTTT